ATTCACTGAGCCCACGGCGTCATCGTGACAGGTAACATGCATAACACGGAAGTGTCAAAGTGCCACGAGGCTATTTTAGGAAACCGGTGGTGTTTTGATGCTAAATATGTATGTTGAACTTCTTTTGCACCGGACATAGCAACTGCGCTAATCGGAGGTGTGGAAGGACAACATTAAACACAAAAATCTTTATTCTTTGGATCTTTCGGTAAAGTCACGTAGGTTCAAAGAAAATGTAAAACTACGTTTCGATCGCAACACTCGCGGCCGTCATCAAAAAAGCCCCTTTTCTGAAAAAGCCCCTTTTCTGATGACGACCGCCTGTGTTGCGATTGAAACGTATTTTTTATTGTTATTTTATTATTTTCTTTGAACCTATCTACATGACTTTACCGAAAGACCCAAAGAATATGAATTCCTGCAGTCACGAAAGCTTTAAGTCAAGAAAAAAATCCGTTTAAAAATTAGTTATCAATCTAGTTTTAAAAGTGAATAGCTTTGGTGGCTTCTTAATGTCGGCAGGAAGAGCATTCCAGACAGACGCAAACGTGCATCCGAAAGCACGCGATGCAGTGACCGTCTTTGTTTTATGGCCAGCAAATAAGTATAACCCGTAAAAACAAAGTTTTTCACTATAAATCCTTTGTGGCGGCTAGAGTCCTCTCGTCCTCTGGTTTGAGATGGCTGCCACCTATGGGTCAGATGATTGTCTGCCAGTATTAAGCAATTGGTAATTAAATATTTAATTTGTTTTCCCTAAACAGTGTAAAATTTTGGGAATTTTTTTTTCACGAAAATTAATTGTCCCACACAACGAGTCTGTGTGGAAAATGTCAGCTCGATTGGATCACGGGAAGTGGGTTAAAAAACGACCGAAAGATTTGCACGGTCGTAAGCAAGCAAGCACGCAAGCAAGCACGCAAGCAAGCAAGCGAACTTAATATAAAGGATTTAAAAACAATAGGTTCCTCTAAAGAGAGAACGACTCAGCGGTGCGAGGAATCGCAAACATCTCGCCACGGTGGCGAGATGTTAACTGCCTCGCTAGGTATGCAGCAGGTCGTAGGTTTGATCCCGACCCTGACGCCTGTATATTTGGAGTTTGCATGTTCTCCCCATGGCCGCGTGGTTATTTTTCTGGGTCCTTCGTTTTTTTCTCTCCACATTAGAATGAACATGCGATTAGAGTATTTGGCTGCAATACATTTTCACGTGATAAGCCACTTCGTTGAGCTATCATTTGTGACAGCCAGGTCGCTTCTGAAAAGAGCTACATAGCTCAGTGTGTCTTACCTGGTAAAATAAAAAAAAATGTTCATAGTTTTATACTTTACTAGCGGTTAGTACCCGGCGTTGCCCGGGCGAAAAAGGCAGACACACATGTAGTTACACACGCAAATCGACTGACACACACACATGGAGTTACACGCACAAATGGACTCATACATACATAGACTGAACAACAACAACCGCCATTCGCCACTAAGTGGCGGTGATGTCACGACAACTTTTGTGCCAGGCTATGTGCACCTTGAGGCCTCGTGAAGTGTCGAACGCCCGCTGGCAGGAGGTCACGGGGCAAACCCAGATAGCACAGGCCGACTGACTGAGACGACTGGCTGATGCACCACCCGTGGCCCCTACTGTGGCAACTTTCTGTGCTTTAGCTACCCGGCGCTCCGCTCGTTGTTGTGAGCGTCACTCCTCCGCCCTCCGTTGTTGTTGGAGGGTGACTGCCTCCAACTGCCCAGTAGCGTCCTTCAGGAGCCTCCTCCACAGAGGCCGATCTTGACACGGCTGGTACCAATCATCCGCAAGTGGACTCAGCTCCAAGTCCTCCTGTACCACATCACTCCATGTCTTCTCCAGCCTGTGCCGCGCCCGTTTAGCCCCCTCGATCCGACCAAACAAAAGCTGTTTAGGCATGCGGTGGCTGGCCATGCGGGCCACATGACTCAGGCAATGCAGCCTTGCCTGCCGGAGGTCACCGATGGGACTTTGTCCACATCTTTCAAGGATTTGTGAGCTCCTCACACAATGCAGCCTGGTTAAACCCAGGATGGATCATAGGCAGGCCATCCTAAATGTTTCTAACCGGCGAAGATGTTCCATTAGGGGGGTCCAAGTTTCGCAAGCGTAGAGAAGGGAGGGAATTACCGTGGCCGAGAAGACCTGAAGCTTCGTACAGAGTGATAGACCAGGTAGCTTCCATACAACGTTACGCAGCCAATAAAAATATACTGCAGCTCGACTGATTTGGAGTGAGACTTTTGCTGTTAAACCGGAGCCGGTCATTAGCACACTGGCAAGGTATGGGAAACTCTCCACTGTCTCCAAAACTGCCCCATCACCAATTGGGAGTTGTGGGGGTGTAGTGTCCGATGGTACAAATTAGCCAGGCAGGTGCTTAGTTTTGGTGGGGCTGATGGTAAGGCCCCACCTGTTGGTGGCAAGCTCCAGGTTCAGCAGCAGCACCTCGAATTCCTCGTCCGAGTGAGCAGCAATTAACAGATCATCGGCATACATAACGTGGTTGAGCAATAGGGAGCCATCCCTTGACCGCACCCGGGCATCGATCAGCCTCCCTTTGTATCTGTAGCAGATGGGAATTCTTCCGGTACAGGCACTGAAGGCTTGATGAACCACGTGGTCCAAATATATGTAAAATAATGTGGAAGCCAGAGGACATCCCTGTTGCACCCCAAGGTGTAAAGGGAATGGCTCTGACTCACGGCCACGTACTTAGACGCGGGGCCGCTCACCATCACGAAGGTCCTTAAAGATGGTGATGAGTGGGTCAGGGACTCGGAAAGGACGAAGAGCAACCCAGAGGCCAGGCCTACTGATGGTATCATAGGCCTTGAGTAGGTCAATAAAGCACACGCATGGACTAAGATGCACACATGGACCTACAGACACGCAAATAAACGGAGTTACACTAACATGGAGGCATGCACACACAGCAACTAACACACACGCACATAGACTCAGACACACACACACATATGGACTCACACACACAAACACATCGACTTACACACACACATATGAACTGACACACACATAGACATCCACTTGAGATACACACACACATGGAGTTACACACAGATATGGACGTACACACATACAGCGACTCACACACATACATAGAGTGACACACACATGGCCGTACACACACATGCAGACTGTCACACATAGACAACCACTTGAGATATACACACATAGAGTTACACACGCATATATCGACGTACACACATACAGCGACTCACACACAGACATACGTGGACTCACACACATTGATGTAAACACACATATGTACTTACTCACACACATATGGACTAAGACACACACACATGGACTTAGACACACATAGATAGACTGACACACACAGCCCTACACACATACAGATGTGACACAGACAGCTACTTGAAATACACAGACATGGATGAACACACACATATGGAGTCACACAAACGCATTGACTTACACACACACATCGAGTGACACACACATGTATAGACTTACATACACATGTAGACTAACACACACACACATATGGACTGACACACACATACACATGGACGTACATGGCCAGATCACAGACTGGCAGACCGTCGCAGCGTCATAAAAGCGCAGCAAAAAAAGGGAAAATTTAAACACCCTGTATATACGCGATCTAACCCAAAAAACCTCTTATGGATGATAATGGTCGAGAAAGCCTACGTGTTCAACTAAACACAATAAGCAGTTTTAAAGAAATTAGGTTTTAATTTAGTATAGTAATGTAGCGTATAGTAGTTTGGTATGCAGTAGTATAGTGTATAGCGTAGTGTGTGTAGTGTCTAGTGTGTATTGTGGTATATAGTTGTATGGAAGTTGACATTATTTTGCACAATAAGTAGCCAATCGTGCTAATCGGAGGTGCGGGCGGAACGACAACAAACTAAACACAACAGTAATACATTTGTTCGTCAATTTATTGGATTTAAAAGTGCATAGCTCCAGTGGCTTCCGAATATCGGAAGGGAAGAGCGTTCCAGACGGCTGCATAAGCGCACATGAAAGCAGAAGCCCAGAATTTATACAAATTGTACTCATATACTTTATTTTTATTCAGCGACTTGCTTAACTTTCCTACACTTTGCACTCCTATAATGTTCACGTACCGTTTGTTGTTACAACGTCCTTACCCGGCCCTACTGGGCATCTGTGAAAATAAGCTTAACGGCTCATCAGATTTCTCCAAGATAAATAAACACTATGATTCTGTTTCAAGTGAGTGCAGCACTTAGCGAGTTTAAATGAACGTGTTTTTTCGTGAACATCTGACCGTATCTGCCCTTCAAACAACAGGTGAGAGCTTCACTCACAACGGAGACAGACTCCTTCCCCCACGACTAACCACAACCCCACTACAAAGATCCCCCGTGTAGCCTATACAGACAGCCGGGGCAAGTGCTTTTTACGAGTAGCAGCGCCTATGTAGCCTCGGCACTGTTGGGTGGCCAGCACCATGTCCAGCCGTCTTTGTCTCTCCCCAGTGGCGATGTTTACTTCACATGGCATCAGGTACTCATTTTAGTCTGAGTCGACCTAGGGGAGTCCCAGGACCGATTTAGATAATCGTCACCGGTGGAAGTTGTCCGTGAGGGCATTTGGGTCGTCAGGTTCGTTGGGCAGCGTGCCAACTACTGCGCCCCCAACTACCCCCCACCCCCCACCACTCTCCCCCACGCCCACCACCACTACCCCCCCCACCACTACCCTCCACCCCCCACTACCCCCACCACTGTCCCCCACTCCCAACCGCTACCCTCCAATCTCACTACCCCCACCATTACCCCCACCACCGCCCTCCAACCACCACTACCCCCCACCACTATCCCCCACCGCTACCCCCCCACCCCACCACTACCCTCCACCCCCCACTATCCCCATCACTGCCCCCACTACCCCCACCACTACCCTTTACCTATCCTTCACCCCCACCACATCCACCACCCACCCCACTCACCTCCACGCGTAACCAGGCGAATGCAAATTCCCGTGAGTGACTACACAATCTGAGAACGGCCGCAGGACCGATATCGTCACTCCGCACGTGTAAGGTAGGGTACACGGGTTCTCTTAATATTCACATTCGCCTGGCTCGACTCGGTCTTAAACAAGTAGTACCTTGTGTGGCGTGCAGACATCGGCATTGTGGGGAGACAAAGGCGGCCGGGCGTGGTGTTTAGAGTGTTTGCGTAAAGGGCGCCGCGGTGGTGAGATGTTAACTGCCTCGCCTGGTATACAGGAGGGCGTGGGTTCGATCCCAACCTTGCCGCCTGCTGCTGTATATTTGGAGTTTGCGTTGCCTCTCCTGACTGTGCTTTCGTGGATTTTTTCTATCCGGGTTCTCCGGTTTTCCCCTCCACGTTTAGAATCGACGTCGCTCATTGAGATGATTTGGCTGCTGCTATAAATACCCACAGGATGATAGCATTCGATGAGCTCTCATTTGTGGCCAGGTCGCTTCTGAAAAAGAGCTACAGAGCTCAGTGGGACATTAACTGGTAAAATAAAAGGTTGTAGTTCAGTGTGGTGGGGAGCGGTCGTGCGCTGTGCTACGAACCAAGTTCGATCCCCGCTCACGGGACAACACCAGTGGTGTACATTTGAACCATTCCTGGGACTCCCCTACGTCGATTCCGCCCGAAATAAGTACCAGGCGTGGTGTCGTGGCCACCTACGCCGTCTTGTTCCGTGTCGGCCATTATAGCTCTTCTCTCGTACGGCTGCTGATGTGGATCCGGAACAGCAGCTACAATTTCACATTCAGGTGGTCAAGCCAGATATATAACAACCGCGTCAGGAGCAGCAGCGGAGTTGTGTATCATCATCATCGCTGCGATGTCTTCTTCGTATTTATGGATCACATTCGCACACTACTGCTGGAGAGTTTATTTTTTTCCATATGTGCATCAGTTAAACGGAAGTAAATCCGCATCTGCTGCCATGGTTTGTGCAGTGGATGGGGTTTAGGGTGGACCGTGAGCTTCGTGGAAGATTAACCCAAGGGATCGTCTGCGTTGGGTCTTTCCCAACAAGGCGGTGCTTGTTTGAGTTATTTAGAACTCCATTCAGCTCTCCAAGCTTAATCGGGGATTGAATTCGCATTGTTTAAGGTTAAGCGCATGCCCTTCATATGTGCTGCTCAATAACAGCACTTGTCTCAACAGTCGATTTAAGGCTAGAGGAGGATCTTTGTCTTGTGCACTGTGAAGATAATAATTTAAAATGAGTGTTCGCCTCCACCACTGCCCATTACGACCCATAGTGGTGAATGGGTAATCTGCACCTGTGTGTGGTTTGCATGGTGCATTGTCTGCACGTGGGGTAGCGTAACACGGGCTGCGCGTGATTCAAATCGTAGGAATCAGACTCTTTATTTTTTACTGGAGGAGAAATCGGATTTGCAATGAAGCTCTTTTTTCACAGATGTCCAGTAGGGACACGGGGTCAGAGCGTTACAACAACAAACACAAATACACACAAACACGATAGGAGTGCAAAGTATAGGACAGGTAAACGAGTCACTTAAAATATTCAAATGAACCGACGTAATTTTGTATATTACCAGGTAAATAAAAGTATGAATTTCGATTTAAAGCTTTCGTGACTGCAGGGATTCATCTTCTTGGTTCTTTCGGTAAAGTCACGTAGAAGGGAAGTAATAAAATAATAAAAATAAAACATAATAAAACAATTCTCACGACGTTTCGGCCACAACGCAAGCAGCCGTCCTCAGGTGAAAACCAGGTCCGTCGAGGCGACAGAGTCTGAATGAAACAGCACACGAGCTTGGAGCATATATATAAGCTGGGCGCATTGACAAAGGAATTTGCATATCAAAAGGAATTTAGCATATTTATGGGAAATGCAGGAATGTGATTAGTACTGCATATGCATGTGCATTATGCAGGATTAACAGCATCAAAGGGAGCTGCAGTTACTGCTGCTGCAGTAGTTGCTGCTGCTGCTGCAGTTTCTGCTGCTGGATGAGGGCCTCGTCCACCCCCCCCCCCAGCGTGATGGAAGCCGTGAGGTCTGTTGAACCGGTCTCCACCCAGCGCCACGAATGGTTGCGAATCAGCCTAATTGGGGAGCGGTAGCGCAGCGGTGAGCGCTACGCCACCTCTACCAACCTGGCGAAACGAGGTGGATTCCCGCTCACGGCTACCAACATCAGTAACGATTATCTGAACCAGTCCTGGGCCTCCCCTCAGCCTCAAATGAGCACCTGGTGCGGTGCGTTAACATCGCCACTGGGAAGACAAAGGCGGCCGGGCGTGGTTTTGCTGGCCACCCACCCCCTCGTGTGCCGTGAAGGCCTTCATATGTGTTCGCTAACAGCACTTACCCCAATAGTCCGTTAAGGCTACACGGGGGATCTTTGTTTGCTTTTTTGACGCGAATAATCCTGTCTACCTAGTTTGCAGGCCAATTCACCGCAGGCATTCCGTGGTGCAATAACAACAACCCAGAATCAAACACTGTCAGCCCATTATAAATGTTTGTGTTAGGGTTAGATCGCGTATATATAAATGCGTCGTTAAACCCGCCACCACCCCGACACAGCCAACGAGTAAAGTTTGTCACGTAAACAAAACGTGGCCGATTCGTTTCTCACACCGCCGTGTTGGGGAGAGGCTGTAGTCTGATGAGGCTGCTTGTTGTGATAAATTACCGGCGAAACGTCGCTGGACTCGAATGTTAAATGTCGTAGTGGGTTTACTCTCCAACACGCAGGCGAACGCGTGCTGAACTAGTCACTCATCTTAAAGCTTTCGTGACTGCAGCCATTCATATTCTTTGGGTCTTTCGGCAAAGTCACGTAGGTTGACGATTGCTTTTGTGTTGCGATTGAAACGTCGTAGTTATTTTTGTAAAAAAAAAATGTTCTACGTGACTTTACCGAAAGACCCAAAGAATAGTCGCTCATCGGCCCATTGTTTTGTTGACGTGACTACCTTACTAATTGGCTGTGTCGGGTTGTGGTGGCGGGTTTAACGACGCATTTATATCTACGTGATCTAAAACCTCTGTAATTACGGGCAAAGCCTCCTTCTACTACTGCGTGTTAAAGAGAAAGACCCCCGTCAATATGACACCGAACGTGGACAAGAAGAGATATTTGACGCTCGAAAAAGAAATGGAAACGATGGCGTCCGTGTTCGCGATAAGATCACAGTGCGGGGGTAATATATTTGGTTATAATATATTTATATCCAGGTAAATGTGTCTCGCTGGGGCGGCGGGGAAGAGGTGGCAACATGGCTAGTGCACTGCGCTACGAAGCACGGCGACCAGAGATTCGATTCCCGCTCACAAACCAATAACAATCGTGAAATATTCGAACCGGTCCCTTGGCCTCCCCGCGGTTGACTTGTCCTTAACCGAGAATCTAGTTTGCGGCGTATAAAAAAAAAGAATCACCACTGGGAAGATAAAGGCAGCCGGGCGACTCGCTGACAGCGGCTGTATTTTGTGTGCGTGTATTCAATCTTTGCATCGTCGACTTTATGTATGTGTCTATATACATGTGTACAACACGTTAGATTCGAGAACGATGGGTCGATTCTTGGACCAAATCTTGTTATTTGAAAACAGTAGATCTCCATTGGGTGATGTATCTACGTGCAGTATTTAAATGTTTTCAATTGTGTGTAGTGTATAATGTAGTGCATAAAATATTTAAGACTGAAATCAAGCGTACAGTATCTATGTTTTTTTAATCGCGCTCCACGGTGCCGATCGCCGGGACTGGGTTAACGACCTTTGGAGCGGTGTTTGCCGATTTCCCCGGATTGCCCGGGACCAGCCGGAACATGTTGGTAGCAGTCAGATAATCAATGATCAACTGGAAGGGGCCGTCCATAAATGACGTCACGCGATTTTTGACAATTTTTGACCCCTCCCCCCCATCGTCACACGGCGTCACAAAACGTCAGACCCTCCTCAAATATGAATGTCACAAAGCTCTGCCCTCCCCTCAAAAATAAATAATACTTCAAATCGCTTTAAACTATTATCATTGGAGTGCATATTTAATATGGCGCTGCACTCTGACGTTGTAGGATAACACATTTATTAAAAAGTACTAGCGGTAAGTACCCGGCGTTGCCCGGGCGAAGAAGGCAGACACATGTAGTGACACACACAAATGGACTCACACACACACACAAAGTTACACACACAAATGCACTCACACATACATACATTGACGAAACAACAACAACCACTTGTGCCAGGCTATGTGCACCTTGAGGCCACGTGAAGAGTCGAACGCTCACTGGCAGGTCACGGGGCAGACCCAGATGGCACAGGTCGACTGACTGAGATGACTGGATGATGCACCACCTGTGCCCCCTACTGTGGCAACTTGCTGTGCTTTAGGCACCCGGCGCTCCGCTCATTGTTGTGAGCGTCGCTCCTCCACCCTCCGTTATTATTGGAGGGCGACTGCCTCCAACTGCCCTGTAGCGTCCTTCAGGAGCCTCCTCCACAGAGGCCGATCTTGACACGGCTGGTACTAGTCATCGGCAAGTCGACTCAGCTCCACGTCCTCCTGTACCACATCACTCCATGTCTTCTCTAGCCCGTGCCGCGCCCATTTAGCCCCCTCGATCCGGCCGAACAAAAGCTGTTTAGGCATACGGTGGCTGGCCATGCGGGCTACACGACTCAGGCAACGCAGCCTTGCCTGCCGGAGGAGGTCACCGATGGGACTTTGTCCACATCTTTCAAGGATTTGTGAGCTCCTCACACAATGCAGCCTGGTTAAACCCAGGATGGATCGTAGGCAGGCCATCCTAAATGTTTCTAAATGGCGAAAATGTTCCATTAGGGGGGTCCAAGTTGAGCAAGCGTAGAGAAAGGAGGGAATGACTGTGGCCGAGAAGACCTGAAGCTTCGTGCGGAGTGATAGACCAGGTAGCTTTCACACAGTGTTACGCAACCAATGATAAGATAATGTGGCTGGACTGATTCGGAGTGAGACCTCTGCTGTTAAATTGGAGCCGGTCATAAGCACACTGCCCAGGTATGGGAAACTCTCTACTCTCTC